GGATATGTTGAACCAATTATTAATTTATTTGTGGTTGGATGATATTATTTGAAAAGTTTATTACGGGTTGAATATTTTGAAAAGTTGATTTGAAATGTTTTTGTACGATGTGCACTGACAGGAATTTCCTCACTGGACCGTAAGGTCTAACCCTCATTTAGTTTTCAAAAAGTATGCATTTCATGGCAACATTATTTAGAAGGTAAGGAAATGTGTGAAGCGTGTCGAGAAATTTTATGGAGTCAGATTTTAATCTTCATGTTATTTAGGTCATTTTGTATGAAGATTATATTAGCGAAAAATTTGWAGTCGATTTTTGACGGTTGAAGAGTTTTRTAGATTGAGACYCAAATTTGTAGTCCTAATGTGRCGTGTTATGTATAATATTTGTGGTATTTGTTGTGTGAATTTACGGGACGTTACACTAACCAAACTCTCAACTACTATGTTGGTGTAAAATATGACGATAATGAAGAGAGTAAATTACAGATTTCGTCCCTATAGTTTTATTTCAATTAGAAAAAGGTCATTAAACCTTAAAATTCATGACTAAGGGCCTCAGTTTTTTTTCACCAAGATCCACTCCCGTTAAAAAATTGTAGTCAAGTCAAGGGCATTTTGATGTTCTGGCATTTTTCAAATGATTTTCTAAATATACAAATTTATAAAGCTTATGTACAAATATGTATATAGCTTTGAGGGAAAAAAACTAATACGAAAAGAAAAATCAAACCCAGAACTCCTCTCCCATGCCGGTTCCCTTCATGATCGTCCATGACCTTCTTACTACTCCAACCCCCTAAGAACCAACTCTAGCGAATAACCCTCCTCCTTCTCCTAATTTGCCAGCGACCCCCATTTTCTTGTTTTATCAACGAATCCCCCTATATCGATTTTCAACACCCTTTAATTCCAGCAACTCCACACTTGCAACTCCACCTTCCACTACCTCTAACTTGACACCCTTCAGCAGCTAAGAATAACACCAAAAGCACCTAATCCCCTGTTGTTCTCCATCTATAACTCCAAAAAAACACCAAACTAAGTTCAACAACCAAGAAAAACACCAATCCAACCATGATTTGAGTTCGTTTTTTCTTTTTTGGTTTTTGTTTTCTTTATAGATATGGGTTTGGATGATTTTGTTTGGGCAACCACTTTTTTCGACCAGAACAACTGGATCGATTGAGTTTGAGTTAGAGATCAAATATGGGTTTGAGTTATGTATCTTGATCAACTGAGTTTGGTACGAGATGGAATGTATTCTTCAGAAAAAACATAATGGTGGGTTTGAGTTCTAGACATGGATCGATTAAGTTTGGTTGATTTGATTTTTTATTGTTTCTTGAGTTAATTTTAAAGTTAGATTTTGATTTTTTTTTTGGTTGAGTTTCTTGAGTTTATGTTAAGTTTGAGTCGATGCATTGTTGAGCTTTTTTAGTTAGTGGTGGTGGGTGTATTGTAGCTKGTTGAAGAAGATAATCRRAGGGATGACGAAGAGGTCTGGCTGGAGAAGGGAAAGGGAATGAGGTGAGGTGGAGTGGACATATGTTGCAATATTTCATTGAGAATTTTAGATTTAGTTTTTAATGGTTCAAAAGACCAAAACACCCTTGGCTTAACGAAGTTTCTAACAAACATTACGGTAAGGGCCTGATTCATAAAAAGATGAAACCAAAAGGACCCTAATCATGAAGTTTAGGGTTGAGGGATATTCTTCACAACCGACATGAAACCACATGGGTCAAATTTATAATTTACTCTAGCAAATATTATTGGTTGTCTTTTTTAAAGTATAGGTACTTATATTGTCAAGTTTACAAAATCAGGGTGCCTAAATAAAAACTTCTATTCTTTTAAATTTTAATTTGAGTAAACTACTATTTTTGTCCCCGATGTTCTTATAACCATTTTTGTCCTTAGTCTTTAAGAACTCCTTTTTTTCTTCCATATGGTTTTCATTTTTTCCCAGTATCCAACACCGTTAAAAATAAGCCGCTAACCCATTTCTAACGATGTTGGATGTAGGGACAAAAATGGAGATAATACAAAAAAATCATAGGGACGAAAAAATCAATTTTTAAAGACCGGGGACTAAGATCGTAGCTTACTCTTTTATTTTAAACTCACTCGTGAGTCATGTGGGTGTAGAAAATTCGAAGGAACCCGATCGCTCTGCCTACCGGCAAAGATGAGATTTTCTCTTTCCCGCCTCCCCATTCTTGTTTCCGCCGTCATTATCTTGCACTACACCTTCTTCCTCAAATCATTACGAGCTTTAGAACCAACGATCCTTTTGAAACCAGAGGTGGTTGGTCCCCTTGGTCGGCAGCTTTTGGAGACTGCGAAGTCACCGGGATTTTATAACTGGGTGAGAGACATCCGTCGGAAAATCCATGCGTACCCGGAGCTTGGGTTTCAAGAATACAAAACGAGTGAATTGATAAGRGCGGAGCTTGATAACCTTGGAATCGAGTACACATGGCCGGTGGCGGGGACGGGTGTTGTGGCTACCATTGGCTCCGGCGAACAACCATTCTTTGCTCTCCGTGCAGACATGGATGCTCTGCCACTTCAGGTTCTTTCTTTTTTCTGAATTATTTGAAATTTCATTGAAGAACTTCCATTGTATCAAGCATTCTACTGTTTTTTTTTTATCTCTCTCATCGAAAAATCAGGAATTAGTCGATTGGGATCACCGGAGTAAGAACGCCGGAAAAATGCATGCGTGTGGTCACGATTCTCATGTAGCAATGCTACTTGGAGCAGCAAAGTTGCTTCAAGCCAGGAGACATGAACTCAAGGTAAAACCAAGTACCAAACCTAATGCACAAAGTACAACCTGCAAAGATCAACCTTAACCTTCTATTTTCAACTTTTAAAAGGGAACCGTAAAGCTGGTTTTCCAGCCCGGCGAAGAGGGTTTCGCCGGAGCTTATCATATGCTTAAACACAGTGCACTTGACAACGTCAAAGCCGCCTTTGGCCTCCATGTTTTGCCGTCATATCCGGTGGGCGTCGTAGCTTCWCGGCCAGGCCCGGTGCTAGCTGGTTCTGGAAGGTTTACTGCAACCATTAAAGGTATTGGTGGACATGCKGCAACCCCACATTTATCAAAAGATCCGATTCTTGCAGCATCAATGGCGGTTGTTGTTCTGCAACAGATTGTATCTCGCGAAACCGATCCACTTGAGTCCAAAGTAAATATTTCAACTTTCAAAGTGGAATCCTTTTTATCTGCTTTTGAGGTTCCAACTAATTTCCGGTGGCTGATCTGTAGGTTTTGACCATCGGACACATTACCGGAGGCAAAGCAGACAATGTGATTCCAGAGAGTGTTAAATTTGGGGGATCATATCGAAGCTTGTCTTCAAAAGGTCTAGTAAACACGAAAGAAAGGATTAAACAGGTAAATACWCCATTAATCAAGAATTCAATATAAGCAAGCTTCAATATATCCCAATTAACTCCACTTTGGGTATGTCAAAATTTCAGGTGGTAGAGTTGCAGGCCGCCGTTCACCATTGCACAGCCGAGTTTGATTTCATGGAGGAAACGCCGTTGCCGTACCCGGTGATGGTAAACGACGAAGGGATGTACGAACACGCAAAGACGGTGGCTGAAATCATATTAGGAAAACCCAACGTGCATTTGATGCCGGTGACGATGGGAGGTGAGGATTTTAGCTTCTTTACACAGAAAATGCCGGCAATCATGTTCGTGATCGGAACAAAGAACAAGACTCATGAACCAGAGCATAGTTTACATTCGCCGTATTTTGTTATTGATGAATCTGCTCTTCCGATTGGATCAGTTTTTCATGCCGCCGTGGCGATTTCTTACCTGGATAGCCATGGCGGCGGTGGCGCCACCTATCGTGATGAGTTGTAAGCTTTTGGGTTAGAATGAATGTACAAAAAATAAGATGGATGATGGTACCAACGTGGGTTGGTTTACAATACCTACCTAGCTAGTGTTAGTTTTTTAAGAGGTGCTAAAGTCTGAAGTCTGATTTTACTTCTGATATTTAAGAGGTGGTGTTGAAGTCTGAAATCTGAATCAGTCAGATTGTTTGTTTTTGTAAACTGACAACGTCTGAAGTCTAAAATCTAAATCAATAGTTTGTTTTTGTAACCAACAAAACATATCAATATGTATAATTTCTGATTTCACTTCTGTTTGTGTTCCCATGATTCCCTTAATTTTTCATTCTCCTCCACATCAAGCCTTCCATCCTCAATCTCCACCCTCATCCCACCACCATCAACCACCGTCCACCACCAYTCCTTCTCTAAAATCCAACGTCCAAATCCACCTCTAAAATCGAAGCAAATATCCATCATGATGAAAACTACAGTGACGAAAACTACAGGGACAAAAATACTTTTTGATTCACGAGGATAAAAGGTGCACAACTACTGGTTTGCACAGGAACGAAAACACACAGTAGCAAAAACCCACAGGGAAGGAAAACCTCTTGATTTGGATCTGATTTGGGTCGATTTGAAGCCACCAGAGGAGATRGAGGGTGAACTCGATCGATTAAGACRATGAGGAGGGTGAAGTCGATCGAATGATGAAGTAGAAATCGGTTCTCTGGATAATTTTCAGGATTAAGAGGAAAATAAGTGGCTAGACTATCACTTAATTTTTAAGAGGAAAATAAGTGATAAGTRGCTCTGAAAGAAAAAKAAAAACAAAYGGTCTGAATTTCTTTATGTCTGACCGAATCAGACATAAGTGGTAAAWTAAGAGTTTTTTTAAAAAACAAACACCACCCTAGTCTTTTTGGCTGATTTTTATTTTTGGCTGATTTTTATTAAGAATTATTACTTGCGCAATGCAGCGAGATATATCTTAATTTTAATATTTCGTATATTTTGGGTCTATTAATATTATGGTGCTATATGGTTCTGAGAAAAAGAACTGTTTTTATTTTTGAATGAAATATATATTTGAAGATATCATAAAATTTTGAAAAAATAAGCAATATTA